AGTTGGGCGTGGTGGCATGCACCTGTAATCCCAGCTATTCAGGAGGCTGAGGCAGGGGAATTTCTTGACTGGGCGCTGGAGGTTGCACTGAGCTAAGATCATGCCACTATACTTCCAGCCTAGGTGACAGAGCAAGACTCTGTCTCAAAAAAAAAAAAAAAAAAAAAAAAATGTGCTATTGGAATACAGGAAAAAAACCAAACTTCTAGGACTCTCATGGAGAGCTACTGTGTTAAACATTGTTAAACCTTTTGTGTTCAGAGTCAAGATAACTTACTTCTTTAGAGCTATTTGCAACTTTTAACAAGTGAGTAAAATATACTCTTGTGAACAAAACTTGGAGCATATTTGTTCCTTTCTACCTGATTTCTCCATGATTTGGAAACTATTTGTGAGTATTCTCAACTTACAGCAGTATAGTTAATTGCATAAGTGCAATAAGAGTCTGTTTTCTTTTGTAACAGGACACAATTGGAGAAATTGGTTATTTTACCAAGGCTTTGACTTGAATGACATGCTTCCTTTAAAGAATCAAAGTGGACTTTTAGAGCCAATTAAAGCCCACTGGGGCATCTGGCCTTATACCTTGTCCACACAGAGTCCCTGTACAAGGTTTGTGATCTGTGGTAAGTAAAGAATGTCATTTTCTAACAGGCCCAGGAACACCAAGTTATCTTGGGACCTCAAGAGAAGAGGAATTCACGCAACTCATAGGTACAAATCCATGGCGGGGGTTGGCTTTTAAAAAGTCTTATCTGAGATTCTTCATGGAAGAGAGTTCTATCAAAGCCAATTTAAAAAACCTAATTGAAAAATAATTATTCTTGCTGCACTTTATGCAAATAATCAGACCAAGTACAGTAAGACTGAAGTTTATTTTGTAAGCAAATTAGTTCTATCATGATTTGTTTTTAATAAAAACAGGGACTGAAGAGAGAAAACTTGTGCTTCAAAAGAAAAACTAAAGTACACTGTTGTTAGCTGTTCTTGAGGTTTTTTCTGCAGTTTAGACTAAATTCTAAATTCTTTGTGGGTTAGAAATCACCAAACTAATGCTTTCAAATCTTTGCTTTTAAACTTGGGAATTGTACTTCTCATCCTAGGACTCATTATTTACCTTACAGTATGCTGTTCACATAAATACTGCACTAAAACTATAGATGAGAATACTAATGTTTTTGCCTTGCAAGCCTTAGAAGCTCAACCACGTCTGCATGAATATGCTCAGACAATTGCAAAGCAGTTCCACTCTTCCCACCTTGGGTTTCACTCTCATTCCCACTATGTCCCCTTTCAGCAGGAAGAAGCCAAAGTGATCAATGGCCTTTTCCCATCTTCATAGCCTACACCTTCAGATTAAGGTGTTATAAAACCCAAAGGGAGGGATTGAAACCACCTTTGCAAAAGTATGGCTGAGACAGTGAAAGGGATCTAATTTAACTGACTCCATCTTGCTTCTAACCTCCAAGTTGTCCTTGTTCATTCCTGGGCATAGGCTGAATTAACTTTGGGAGAAACTTAGTTTATAGTTTATAGTTTACTAAAAGATGGTAACAGCCCTTTGCCAAAGCAGACCTCCTTCTTGCCTGGGGACTAGATTGTCTTTGTAGGACTAACATTAGCCACAAGATTAGAAATTATGGTTTAGGAATCATGAAGCTGGAGGCTACAAAATTCTGACTCTCCCTAAACTGCTCCTAAGATCAGGACTTGAGATATTTTACAGACCCTATACTTGATGGATCAGCTGGCACCACCCAGATCAATAAACTGGCTTGTCTGATCTTGTGGCCCCCACCCAGGAACTGACTCATCACAAGGAGACAGCTTTGACTCCCTATGATTTCATCCCTGACCAATCAGCACTCCTGGCTTGTTGGCTTCCCCCCACCCACCAAGTTTTCCTTAAAAACTCTGCTCCCCGGGACAGGTGCAGTGACTCGCGCCTGTAATCCCAGCACTTTGGGAGGCCAAGGTGGGTGAATGCTGGGGAAGACTGATTTGAGTAATAATAAAACTTCGGTCTTCTGCACAGCCGACCCCATGTGAATTACTCTTTCTCTATTGCAATTCCCCTGTCTTGATGAATCAGCTCTTGTCTAGGCAGTGGGTAAAGTGAACCCCTTGGGCAGTTAGTCTCTTTTGCTAACTTCTAGAAATTACATTAACTACCGTTTATTAAGCAAGCTTTATGTTTCAGGCAAGGTGCTAAGAGTTTTACAGACCATATTTCTTTCTTTTCTTTTTTTTTTTTTTTTTTTTTAGACAGTTGAGACAGTCTCACTGTTTTGCCCAGGCTGGAGGGTAGTGGTGTGTGGCTTACTGCGGCCTCAACCATCCAGGCCCAAGCAGTCCTCCCATCTCAGCCTCCTGAGTAGCTGAGACTAGCTGAGACTACAGGCATATGCCACCGCACCCTTTTTTTTTTTTTTTTTGGTAGAGGCAGGGTCTCACTATGTTGCCCAGGCTGGTCTTGAACTCCTGGGTTCAAGTGATCATCCTGTCTTGGTTTACTAAAGTGCTGGGATCACAGGTGTGAGGCATTGTGCCCAGCCTACCTTCTCATTTTGAAAGCAATACAATACCAACTTTAATGGTAATACACTTTTATGTAATAAAGAAAGACATTTACAAATATCAGAAACCCAGTTTTAAAACATTTGCATTAATTGTGAACTGAATCAATTTTTTTTTTTTTTTTTTTTTTTTGAGATAGAGTCTCGTTCTTTCGCCCAGGCTGAAGTGCAATGGCACAATCTTGGCTCACTGTAACCTCCACCTCCCGGGTTCAAGCAATTCTCCTGCCTCAGCCTCCCGTGTAGCTGGGATTACAGGTGCATGCCACTATGCTAATTTTTGTTCCAGACCAGCCTGGACAACATAATGAGACTCTACAAAATTAATTAATTATTTTTATTAAAAAATAAAAGATGTTTCTAAAGAATGTAACTTACACACTATGTTGTTAACAGTGTTAACTCAGTGGATGAAAGTGGTTTACCACACTCATGCATATAATAAATGACAAACATACTTGTTTGAAAGATGCTTCTTTGAAAGCTACTTAGTGGTCAGCATGGTGGCTCATGCCTGTAATCCCAGCACTTTGGGAGGCCGAGGCAGGAGAATTGCTTGAGTCCAGGAGTTCAAGACCAGCATAGGCAACATAACAATACCCTGTCTTTACAAAAAATTTAAAATTAGCAGAGCATGGTGGCGTAGTCCCAGAACTCTGGGAGGCGGAAGTGGAAGGATCACTTGAGTCCAGGAGTTCTAGGCTGCAGTGAGCTGTGATCGTGCCACTACACAGAGCTACTTAATATGTTATGAACAGGGTTATTTTAGTGAATGGAAGTAATGTATGTAGTGAAGTGTCTGAAGATACATGTTTAAATAATGTTTCAGATCTTATGGACAGCTACAAACCATATCATTCAGAATACACAATCTTCTCAAGTGCACATGGAATATTCTCCAAGATAGAGTATCAGGTCACAAAACACGTCATAACGAATTAAGAAAACTGAAATCGTAACAAGTATCTTTTCTGATCACAATGGTATGAAACTAGAAATCAATAATAGTAGTAATTTCAGAAAATTCACAAATATGTAGAATTTAAACAACATGCTCCTATACAACCAATGGGTCAAGGAAGAAATTTTTTTTTTTTTGGGATGGGGTCTCACTCTGTCAGTCATACTGGATGCTGGAGTGCAGTGACACCATAGTGAGATGATAAGTCTTCCAATCAAAGGTTTTTCTCAATGGAAGGGTTTGTGGTCTCATGGGCTTCAGGGAATGAAGCCGTGGACCACAGTGGCGAGTGTTACAGCTCAATTAGAGAAATGCATGGACCCAAAGAGTGTGTGGCAGCAAGATTTATTAAAACAAAAGTGAAAGTAAAGCGAAAACAAAAGTGAAAGTAAAGCGAAAGCAAAAGTAAAGCTTCCAGGCAATGGAAGGGGACCCAGAAGGGTTGTAGTTTCTGGCTTCGGTGTCTTATGCTCATATGCCCTTATGACTCCTCCCCTTTTCCTTTTCCTGTCCTATAGGATTAGCTTATTTTCTATCCGCTTGTGGGTTGGTCGGCCTGATTGATTAAAAACATTAGGCTGCAGCTAGAGCTGAAACTCCCTATATGATTGGTTGAAGTTTCAATCTCTTAGTTTGCAGCTGTGACTCATATTGGCTTAGGGGAAAGTCCCCTTTGATTGGTTGAAGTTTCAATACCTTAGCTTGCAGCTATGACTCATTTTGGCTTAGGGGAAATTCCCCTTAGGGAAGTCCCTATTGACCCAGGAAGTCCAGCCAACTTAGCCACTTAGTCCCTCAATAGCTCACCACAACCTCAACCTCCTGGGTCCAAGTGATCCTCCCACCTCAGCCTCCCCAGTAGCTTGGGACTACAGGCACATACCACCACGTCTGGCTAATTGTTTGTATTTTTTGTAGAGACGGGGTTTCACCACGTTGCCCAGGCTGGTCGCAAACTTCTGGACTTAAGCAATCTGCCTGCCTTGGCCTCCCTAAATGCTGGGATTACCGGTGTGTGCCACTGTGCCCAGCCTCAAAGAAGAAATTTAAAAATCTATTGAGGTCGGGTACAGTGGCTCATGCCTTTAATCCCAGCAGTTTGGGAGACCCAGGTAGGTGGATCACCTGAGGTCAGGAGTATCAAGATGGCCAACATGGTGAAACATGGTCAACATGGTGAAACCCCATCTCTACTAAAAACACAAAAATTAGCCAGGTGTGGTGGCACGTGCCTGTAGTCCCAACTACTTGGGAGGCTGAGGCAGGAGAATTGCTTGAACCTGGGAGGCAGCAGTTGCAGTGAGCCAAGATCATGCCATTGCACTCCATCCTGGGTGACAAACACTCCGTCTCAAAAAAATAAAATAAAAATCTATTGAGACAAACAAAAATGTGAAAATTACATACCAAACATTCAGAATGCAGCTTCTCTAAGAGAAAAGTTTATAGTAATAAATGCCTACCTCACAAAAGAAGAAAGATTCCAGATAGACAAACTAACAGTATACTTCCAGGATCTAGAAAAGAACAAATTAAGCTCAAGATTAGCAGAAAGAAGGAAATGATAAGGTTCAGAGCAAAATAAATAAAATAGCAACAAGAAAACAATAGAAAAATCAACAAAATTAAATTAGATTATGAAAAGATAAATAAAACTAATAAACCTTTAGCTAGCTAGACTAAGAAAAAATAAAGATTCAAATAAAAGCAGATGAAAGAGGAGATACGATTGCTACGCCACAGAAAAACAAAGGCTTATAAGAGACTACTGTGAACAATATATGCCAACAAATTGGATAACTCAGAAGGAGCAGACAAATTCCTGGACACATACAACCTACTAAGCCTGAATCATGAAGAAATATAAAACCTGAAAGGGGCCAGGCGCAGTGGCTCACGCCTGTAATCCCAGCACTTCGGGAGACCGAGGCGGGCGAATCACGAGGTCAGGAGATCAAGACCATCCTGGCAAACACGGTGAAACCCCATCTCTACTAAAACTACAAAAAAAAAATTAGCCGGGCGTGGTGGTGGCACCTGTAGTCCCAGCTTCTCGGGAGGCTGAAGCAGGAGAATGGTGTGAACCCGGGAGGCGGTGGAGCTTGCAGTGAGCAGGGATCATGCCACTGCACTCTAGCCTCGGTGACAGAGGGAGACTCCATCTCAAAAAAAAAAAAAAAACAAAACCTGAAAGGACCAGTAATGAATAAGCAGATTTAATCACTAATGAAAATTCTCCCATTAGGCCAGGTGTGGTGCTCACACCTGTAATCCCAGCACTTTGGGAAGCCAAGGTGGGTGGATCGTCTAAGGTCAGGAGTTCCAGACCAGCCATGGCCAACATAGTGAAACCCCATCTCTACTAAAAATACAAAAATTAGGTGGGTGCGGTGGCACACACTTGTAATCCCAGCTACTCAGGAGGCTGAAGCAGGAGAATCACTTGAACTGAGGAGGCAGAGGTTGCAGTGAGCCAAGATCACACCACTGTACTCCAGCCTGGGTGACAGAGCAAGACCCTGTCTCCAAAACAAAAGAGGAATGTTGAAAAAAGAGTAATGTTTCTCAGCACAACAAAGACTATCTCTGACAAGCCCATAGCTAACATTATATTGAACTGTGAAAATATTGTTTTCTCTAAGATCAGGAACAAGACAAGGATGCCAACTCTCACCATGTCTATTCAATATAGTATGGGAAGTCCTAGCCACAGCAATCAAGCAAGAAAAAGCGTGACAGACATCCAAATAGGAAAGAAGTAGAAGAAAAATTTTAAATGCTACTTACAAAGTTTGTTGTGAACAGTGTAACTTCCATGTAAGGAAGTAATGAATGTAGTGAAGTATTTGTAGTCATGTTAAACAGGCTTCTGAAATGTTATTTACATACTATTTTAAAAAGACGTTTCCACAAATGTTACTTATGCAGTGTGTCGTGAAAAGCATTACTTCGATGAAGGAATGTGGTTACCATACTAAAATTCATGTAAAATATTGGTCCAAACTCCTGACATTCCCTGAAAAGATTTATGGGAATTTCTGTGCTCTCAAGAGATTAATAAGAAATGGAATGAAGCCAGGTGCAGTGGCTCACGCCTGTAATGCCAGCACTTTGGGAGGCTGAGGTGGGCAGATCACTTGAGGTCAGGAGTTCGAGACCAGCCTGGCCAACATAGCGAAATCCCATGTCTACTAAAGATACAAAAATTAGCCAGGCATGGTGGCAGACACCTGTAGTTCCAGCAACTCGGGAGGCTGAGAAAGGAGAATCGCCTGAACCCAGCAGGCAGAGATGTTATAGTGAGCTGAGGTCACGCCACTGCATTCCAGCCTGGGCAACAGAGCAAGAGTCTGTCTCAAAAAAACAAAAAACAAAAAAAAAAAAAAGAAAGGAAAAAGAAAAAGAAATGGAATCCTAAACTCTAAAGCCATGCTGACATAATAATATGGCTCATTCTCATGCACATTTTGAAACAGATGGGTAAATTATATCAAGGAAAGTTCAGAGCTCAGATGGTCTCTAAGAAAACTACAGCCAACTATGGGGTTAACAAGCAGAATCTTCGAAGTTCTCTATTTCTCTATTTTATTTTTTTTCTGCCTACTTTCAATCTGCTGACTTTTCTGCTGGTGTTGAGATAAAAATCACTGCTTATGACATTTGAGCCAAGATTTTTAAAAGAAAGACTTAAAGCCATTTCAAATTAATGACTTTACAAATAACAATAGCTCCATGATAAACAACCTGGACACCTGAGCTATCCCTTTCGGAAATGTAAATTTAGGTTTGCCTGCCTAACAATTGTGTATGGTGACAAAACAGGTAACTGAAGGATTAACAGTCTAGAATAATTATATAAATGTTTAGAAAACTTAGGCTCTCAGATCAGACAGGTTAAAATCTTGAGCTCAGAGCCATAATATAAGTTCAGTGTCTGGCATAAAAATTGCTTTATCTGCCACTCAAGGAGTTAAAAAAAATTTTTAAAGTGCAGATAATCTTTTTCCCCACCCACATTGGAGCAGGTGATGAAGCAAAGTAGGTTTTAGGACTAGATTGTCATGTGGACGCCATGTTAAGTGTTAATTTCTTTTCCTTTTCTTTTCTTTTTTTTTTTTTTGAGACTGAGTCTCACTCTGTCCCCCAGGCCAAAGTGCAGTGAATCCAACTCTGCTCACTGCAACCTCTACCTCCCAGGTTCAAGCGATTCTCCTGACTCAGCCTCCTGAGTAGCTGGGATCACAGGTGTGTGCCACCACGCCCAGGTAATTTTTCCAATTCTTGTTGATTTCCTGATGAGGGGGTGAGTGATTGTTACCTGGGAGAGTGTTCCGGCTTTGGGTAAAAAAACGAGTGTTTTGTGTGAAATTGCAAATCTGGCACAGCAATAACCACTGGAGACTTTGATAGAAAGGACAAGGATTTGTATTGCTATTGCAAGTTTTCCGTAAGAATGAAATGATCAAAAAGTAATTACATTGATTGATTGATTGATTGATTGATTTTAGACAGTCTCCCTCTGTCGCCCAGCCTGGAGTGCAAAGGTGCAATCTCACTGCAACCTCCGCCTCTCAAGTTCACGAGGTTCTCTTGCCTCCACCTCCTGAGTAGCTGGGATTATAGGCACACATCACCATGCCCTGCTGTTTTTGTATTTTTTAGTAGAGACGGGGTCTCTTCGTGTTGGCCAGGCTGATCTTCAGCTCCTGGGTTCAAGAGATCCTCCTGCCTTGGCTTCCCAAAGTGCTGGGATTACAGGCGTGAGCTACCGTGCCCGGCCTCAAAAAGTTATTACTTTTTTTTTTTTTTTTCCCGAGACGGAGTCTCACTCTGTTGCCCAGGCTGGAGTGCAGTGGCGCAATCGCGGCTCACTGCAACTTCCACCTCCTGGGTTTAAGCGATTCTCCTGCCTCAACCTCCCAAGTAGCTAGGATTACAGGTGCCCACCTCCACACTCGGCTAATTTTTGTATTTGTAGTAGAGATGGGGTTTTACTATGCTTGCCAGGCTGGTCTTGAACTTCTGACCTCAGTAATTACTTTTTTAAACAACCATGTGGGCTGGGTTCGCTTGCATGAGGAACCTTGCAGCCAGGAGCTGGAGTCCAGCCTAGGCAACATAGTGAGACATCTTCTCTACAATAAAATTAAAAATTCGCCAGGCATGGTGGTGCATGCCTGTAGTCCCAGCTACTCAGGAGCATGAGGCGGGAGGATCCTTCAGCCCAGACGTTCAAGGCTGCAGTGAGCTATGATGGTGCACTCCACTGCACTCACACCAGTGAGCACTGCACTCCAGCCTGGGTGACAGAGTGAGACTCTGTCTCAAAAATGAAAAATAAGGCTAAGGCATGGTGGCTCAGGTCTGTAATCCCAGCACTTAGGTCACGATTTGGAGACCATCCTGGGTAACATAGGGAGACTCTGTCTCTAGAAAAAAAATAATCAACCAGTCAATCAAACACGTCAATACCGCGTCAGTAAAGCAGAGGTGACATCAAACTTCATTCCAGTAGCTAAGCCTGACCCAAATCCAGTTCCGCCAAAGCTAGGAAACCAGTCTCCCTGGTAAGCCTCTGACTGTGATGTTAGTATTAAAAGGCCGCTGCGTGGCATTATGCTAGCAGCCACTGTGTCTTAGCTGTTGAGAAGGAGCTCGTGTGTGGTAGAAACCGGGGTTTTTTATTTCCAAAATTCCACACGAAGCCCTTCCTCTACTGGGGGCTCTGAAGACCGGCTGCTCCTCAGTAGTCAGGACCGTGACAGGAAGGATTTTACTCACCATTGACGCAGCCTCAAGTTGTCCCAAAGTGAGGCGGTGTCCGCTTAGATCTGTGCTGAGGAAAATGAGGTTCTGGTCTTTACTGCGGTCCTGGCGCTGGCGGCCACCGGAGGAGCACGGAGGCGGTGGGGGCTTCTCAGGGGTCCGACACGGCGGCTCGCACGCCCCCTGCTGGTCATCTGGGGCAGCGCGCGGCCCTCGGCGCTCACTCACTGTTTAGCGGTGGCCGCGTGCCCCCTCCTGGCTGTCTAGCTGAATTAATTAAACTCGGTGTTCAGATTGTTTAATGCCGTGATTTTGGACGTTCAAACTAAAATGGGGCCCACTATCCTGTGTCTTTCTCAAAAATGTTAAAGGAACAATTAATCGGAACGAAATAAATGTAGATCTAAACTTTACAAGTTTCACAACAATTCATTCAAAGTAGTCCGTTGACTTAAATTTAAAATACAAAGCTGGCGGGGCACGGTGGCTCATGCCTGTAATCTCAGCACTTTGGGAGGCCGAGACGAGCGGATCACCTGAGGTCGGGAGTTCCAGACCAGCCTGACCAACATGGAGAAACCCTGTCTCTACTAAAAATACAAAATTAAACGGGCGTGGTGAGGCATGCCTGCTACACTAGCTACTCGGGAGGCTGAAGCAGGAGAATCGCTTGAACCCGGGAGGCGGAGGTTGCCATGAGCCGGGATAGCGCCATTGCACTCCAGCCTGAGCAACAAGAGCAAAATTCCGTCTCCAGAAAAAAGTAATAATAATAGACAAAACTATAAAAATTCTAAAGTTACATTAAATCACATGGAAAGCAATGTCAAATGAGAACTACTTAGCCAGGCACAGTGGCTCACACCTTAATCCCAGCACCTTGGGCGGCTGAGGAGGGAGAACCGCTTGAGCCCAGGAGTTTGAGACCAGCCTGGACAACCCCGCACCCGGCAACCAACCCATCTCCACAAAAAATACAAAAGTTAGGCTGCTCTGCCTATGGAGTAGCCATACTTTTGTTTCTTTACTTCTCTAATAAACTTGCTTTCACACACACACACAGTAGCTGGGTGTGATGGCGCACACCGGTAATCCCAGCTACTAGGGAGGCTGAAGTGGGAGGATCACCTGAGGCTGCAGTAAGCCATGATTAGGCCACTGCACTCCCACCTGGGTGGCAGAGACCTTGTCTCAAAAAAGAGAGAGAGAGAGAAAGAGATACTAACCTTCTCTAGGTTGTATTTGTATAGGTAAAATGTTATTGTTTCAGAAATTGTGTCAAGTCCCTGGAAATTTGTCAATGTCCTCCTTGTCCAAGATATGTCCCAGTGTAACGTTATCAGCCATAATCCCAGTTATTATTTTAACTGTTGTATGCCACTGAAACAACCGAATTTCCTTGCCAGTTGCATTATAATGAACTTTCATTAGATCTTAACCATAACTAATTTACATCTTTTTGGTTTTTTGTTTTTTTGTTTTTGGTTTTTTTTGAGACAGAGCCTCACTCTGTCACCCAGGCTGCTGGAGTACCATGGTGCAATCTGGGCTCACTGCAACCTCCACCTCTCAGGTTCAAGCGATTCTCCTGCCTCAGCTTCCCCACTAACTGGGACTACAGGAGCCTGCCACCACACCTGGCTAATTTTTGTGTTTTTAGTAGAGACGGGATTTCACCATGTTGGCCAGGCTGTTCTTGAACCCCTGACCCCAAGCAAGCCACCCACCTCGGCCTCCCAAAGTGCTGGAATTACAGGCGTGAGCCACTGCACCTAGCCTATTATTATTATTTTTAGAGACAGCGTCTTGCTCTGTGTCCCCGACTGGAGTGCAGTGGCACCATCATAGCTCACTGCAGCCTAGAATTTTGGGGCTCAGGCCATCCTCCCACCTCAGCCTCCCAAGTAGCTAGAAATACAGGCACATGCCACCACACCAGCCATTTTTTTTTTTTTTTTTTTAATTGGTGTATTAGAGCCTCACTATGTTGTCCACACTGGTTTCAAACTCCTGGGTTGAAGCATCCTTCCACTTCAGCTGCCTGAGTAATTGAGATTATATACCACCACACCTGACTATTGCTGCTTCTTTAATGTTCTATTTTCTGGATTTAAAGAAACTTTTTCTCTTAAGCTAACTATATCTTGTGACAATTTAGGAGACTATACTTTTATAAACAGAAATGAAATGTTTGTCTTTTTCTCCCTGCCTGATCCCTCCAGAATTTAGAAACTCTTATTGAATATTTTTAGTTTCATGACAATATAGTTACTTGCATAAATTATTCAATAAGAATCTCTTCACCTTATAACAGGACGTAATTGAGACAATTGGTGATATCACTAATGCATTGACTCTAATGTCCCATTTGAGAATGATGTACATAAGATCAGATATGACCAGACAATGTTAAGGAACTAAGGTTGACTTTACAGAACCGATGTTCACAAAAACCTCTAGGTTACAAAACCCTCTGTGTGACAGGGATACTGTTACCTGAATTACACAGTTCCAAACCTAACAAGTGAGTAGAGATGGTCACTTCCTGAAAAGACCAGAAAACAGGATATTTTGGGGACTTCAAGAAGAGAAGGATTCACCTAAATCTACAGTTACTGCAGGTGAAGTCTGGTGGTAGATTCTTGGCTTGGCTTCCTAGCCTCAAGGGGGCTTTTAAAAGTCCAACCTGACATTCCTTTTTTTTTTTTTTTTTTTAATAGAGACAGGTTTCACTATGTGGTCAGGCGGCTGGTCGAACTCGCAGGCTCAAGTGATCCCCTGACCTTGGCTTCCCAAAGTGCTGGGATTACAGGTATGAGACACCATACCGGGCCTCAACCTAACATTCTGTATGAAAAGTTCCAGCAAAGCCAACTTAAAAAGACCTATATGGGGCCGGGTGTGGTGCCTCACGCCTATAATCCCAGCACTTTGGGAGGCCGAGGCGGGCGGATCACAAGGTCAGGATATCGAGACCATCCTGGCTAACACGGTGAAACCCCATCTCTACTAAAATTACAAAAAATTTGCTGAGCGCGGTGGTGGGCACCTGTAGTCCCAGCTATTTGGGAGGCTGAGGCAGGAGAATGGCGCAAACCCGGGAGACGGAGCTTGCAGTGAGCCGAGATGCACTCCAGCCTGGGCGACGGAGCGAGACTCTGTCTCAAAAAAAAAAAAAACAAACCCTATATGGTTACCATTCTTACTGCACTTTTGTAAATAATCACGCAAACTCTAAGTCTAATCTAGACTTATTTTGCAAACAAGAATAATTTTACTTTGATTATATTTGAACAAAAATAAGGGTGACTGTACAAAAAATTTTATGTTTCAATGGAAAACAATAACTCACTCTTGAGATTTTAGAATCTCACAGGTTCAGATTCTAATCCTGTTCATTGTCTTTGAGCTATTTTCACCTCTTTGAAAACTGGATCCTGCCATTTTGTGCATTATGTGCTACAAAGATACTTGCGGGAAAAGAAGCCAAATATTGTCCCCCTGCTAATGTATCTATTGTCAGTTAATTTACAGATCTTCAACCACTGGGACAAAGTTAGAAGAGGCAAGTTTTGCTCTGAAAAATGCATGGGCAAATTGGGATATAATCATGCAATAGAATACTAATTAGCAATATAAAGAAACAAATTAGGCTAGGCATGGTGGCTCACACCTGTAATCCCAACACTTTGGGAGGCTGAGGCAGGATTGCTTGAGACCAAGAGTTTGAGACCAGGTTGGGCAACATGGTGAGACCCCATCTCTATCTAATTAATTTTTTTAAAAAGAAAAGAAAAAGAAAATCTGGAAAGTTAGATTTTTTGTTATTATTATTGAGACAGAGTCTCACTCTGTTGCCCAGACTAAAGTGCAATGGTGTGATCATGACTCACTGCAACCGCAAACTCCTGGGCTTAAGGGATCCTCCTGCTTTCTAAGTAGCTGGGACTACAGGTGCGCGCAACCACATTCAGCAAATTTTTTTTTTTTAGTTTTTGTAGAGACTACATTGCCCAGGCTGGTCTCAAACTCCTGGGCTTAAGTGATCCTCCTGCCTTAGCCCCCTAAAGTACTGGGATTACAGGCGTGAGCTGCCACGTCCAGCTAATATCTTTTTTTTTTTTTTTTTTTTGAGACAGAGTCTTGCTCTTTCACCCAGGCTAGAGTGCAGTGGCACATTCTCAGCTCACTGCAACCTCTGCCTCCCTGGTTCAAGCGATTCTCCTGCCTCAGCCTCCCAAGTAGCTGGGATTATAGGCACCCACCACCACGCCCAGCTAATTTTTGTATTTTTAGTAGAGATGGGGTTTCACCATCGTGGCCTGGCTGGCCTCAAACTCCTGACCTCGTGATCCACCCGCCTTGGCCTCCCAAAGTGCTGGGATTACAGGTATGAGTCACTGTGCCCGGCCATCATTCTTTAAGAAAAAGAGTCAGGGCTGTTTGAAGAAATGGCTGGTACTAGGGTTGGGATGGTAAATATATGAGCTAGGATAATCTTTTTTTTTTTTTTTTTTTTTTTTGAGACGGAGTCTTGCTCTGTCGCCCGGGCTGGAGTGCAGTGGCCGGATCTCAGCTCACTGCAAGCTCCGCCTCCCAGGTTTACGCCATTCTCCTGCCTCAGCCTCCCGAGTAGCGGGGACTACAGGCGCCTGCCACCTCGCCCGGCTAGTTTTTTGTGTTTTTAGTAGAGACGGGGTTTCACCGTGTTAGCCAGGATGGTCTCGATCTCCTGACCTCGTGATCCACCCGTCTCGGCCTCCCAAAGTGCTGGGATTACAGACTTGAGCCACCGCGCCCGGCCAGATAATCTTGAACTATCAAAAAGTGTGGTCTTTAGACATTCAAAAAAGGATGAAAAATAACAAAAAAAGTTAAAAAGTGTTCAGGAAAAAAAAAAAAAACAGATGAAATTAATGATATTGGAGTTAAAAAGAAATTATTTAGGCAGATAGTGAGGGTAAGGAAGTCTTCAGTAAGGTTTCCCTTTTAATGAAAAGCAGCCCCAAAATCATTTCTTTTCTAACAAAGAGCAGCCTGTAAAATTGAGCTACGCACATAGATAAGCAAGCTGGGAACTCACACAGGTGAATGCCAGCAGCTGTGCCAGTAGGAGAAGGCTACCTGGGGGCCAAGCATGTTCAACATGGTGGCTCCATCTTCCCGTTGCCTTGCCAACCACATGTACAGTAAG